CACATGCATGACCTGACTCAGGTTGCACTGGTGCGACAATGCCGGTCCATTGGACCTATGTCTCCAGGCAGTTTAGGGTACAGGCATGATTTGGACACAAACCTCAGGGTCTACAGTTTGTGAATCACCTAAATCTATGTCTCCACTCAGTTCAGGACTCATACAGGAACCAGATGCAGCCCGCATGGGTAGCAGTCACAGACTTCCCCAGCCTTCAACTCACTAGAGGGTCTGGGCAAAGGCAAAGCACAGACTTGAATCCATGGGCCCTGCAGCTCCCGGAGTACTCGCTGTCTCGGCGCAGGGTGCGAGGGCCTGGGAGAGTCTGCTCGTCCAGCTAAGAGAGCCTGCTCAACCTGCCCGCAGCCAGAGAAGTCCCAGGGAACTCTCTGCTGCCACAGCGACTCAGTCTGTAATGTCCACGGGGTCCTTGTTTGCGCCTTCTGCCCTCAGGGATTAGATGGGAAGTACCTGGCTCTCTCCGCGCGTTTCAGCTGGGAATCGTGGTAGTGTGGATTGTGCACAGACTCGAACCCACAGTCCCTGCAGCTCCTGGAGTGCTCTCTGGCTCGTCGCAGGGCACGAGGGGCTGGGAGAGTCTCTGTCATAGTTTTTCATCAGCCCACTACAGCTTTGCCAAAATAGCTATGTTTTCAAAAAGTTAAGTTAAATACAGTTACTGTATGGCCCAGAAATTCTATCTGTAAGGTTATATCCAAGATAAGTAGAAGAAAACATGTTTACATGGAAAATTATACAAGAATGATTCATAGCAGCATAATTCACAATTGAAGATGGAAACCATCCAAATGTGTGGCAATTGATAAAGAAATATAATGAACACACACCCAATATTACTATGAATATTCTTTCTCCATAAAATCAGCAATGGATAAACATTCTGTTGACCCAGCAAGGATGATAGTGAAAGCATTAGATCAGCAAAAGAAAGCAGTCCCTAAAGACCACACACTGGATGATCCCGCTTATGGGAGCTGCTCACCGTGGACAAATCCACAGACACAGAGCATGGATAGGTGTTTGTCAGGCCTGGAAGGCGAAGGCAGGAGGCTGTGAGGGACATTTGCTCCTGGACCCCCATCCCATCTCTATTGGAGGCCATGACAGTGTGCTGAGGGAGGTAATGGTGACAGTTGTTCATCTGTGTGAATATAGTAAGAGCCACTGAACTGTGTGCTTCAAAGGGATGAATGTCATTTTAGCAGAATTTTGACACCAAGAGCTCCCTGAGATAAATGAGTTCCTTAAGCTCTTACACCACTAGCAAAAAGTAAAACGAGTGGTGAGGGTAAATTGACTGAGCCACCTACACATGGCCAAGGAGCAGCTGGTAAAACTCCCCACCCCTTTTGTTGTCACTGTTGTTTTCTTGAGACAAGGTCTTGCTGTGTATTCTAGGCTGGGCTTGAACCCACAGTGTAGCACTGTCTGCCCTGGAACGCATGGTGACCCTGCTCCCTCAGCTTCTGTATTTTTTTGAGGAAGTACTGGGAATCAAACTCAGGACCTTGCCCTTGCCAGGCAGGTACTTATGTCACTGAGCTATAGCCCCGTCCCACCCTCAGCTTCTGCAGTGCTGGCATTGCAGGCCTATGCCCCCTCACCCAATTTGAAAAATGTCCTCTGGCTTTAAGGAGTCAGGGATTTTATCTTGGAAACTGGGAGAGAAAAATCCATAAATGATTTACTTGCATTGCCCCGACACTGGCTGGAGATGAGGGAGCACAGGGCAAAGCCAGCCCAGGCCTGGGCTCTCCATGCGGGAAGGTTTGCTGGTTGGTTTGAGCTGCACAGGAGGAGACGCGGCCCAGCGGTCCATCTTCAGTGTGTGAGGCCAGGAGGCAGAAAAGTTGTTGTTTTCCTGGCTGGCTTAGCTGGAGGCTGTCGGTTAATATAAACTCTTATCTTTTCCATCCCCTCTTCCTGCAGGGACCTAACTCTGGAGTTCGGGATTCTTCTCTTATCAGTATTATGTTCTGTATGTTCTCTTTCAGTGAAATTTTTCTTTTCTTTTTTTTGCTAAGTGAGGCAAAAACATAAGGATCCCGGCCTTTCAGGGAGTGGGGACCTTCCCAGACAGGGCTGGCACCCGAGGGGGTTCCTTTACAAGACCCAGCAGGCCTCACCCCAAGTCAGAGCTCAGGAGATGCCAGGCCTCTGGAGAAACTTCAAAGAGGACGGAGAAGCCTTGGGAAAAGCTCCCTGCTGCCCAGAAAGCTGCCCGCATCCCGTGTTCCTCTGGACATCTCCAGGGACACTTTCACTGGGCTCAGGTCTGAGACTGAGCTGTAGCACAGAGGGTGGGGCTCACAGGGGTCTCGGGTGCCTCCAGGAACTCGCCTGCTGACAAAGGACACAGTCACTGTCCTGAAACTATTCCTCTGCATGTCTGCCCCGGGCTGGAAGAGCAGGGCACACAGCAGACCACCGGCCCAGGCCCGGGTAGGAGGAGGGCTGGGCTCCTACATGCTGGGACCTGGGCTCTGTGTGGGTCCTGGGCAAGAACCATCCCAAGTGTGTGGGCTGTGATGGACAAACACTTGGAATTCATCTCCAGGGCTCCTTTGTGTAAAAGGGGACCGACATCCCAGGGAAGTCTCAGCTTCTCATTCCCCTGTGGCTGCCTGGAATAAGGAGAGCCCGGGCTCCTAGTTGTCTTCTCTCCTCTGGTATTGGTTTGTTGTTTGGTTTTTGGTAGGGGCTGCAGTGAGGATTGAACCTAGGACCTTCCTACACCCTCAGCCCCAACCTTCTCCTTTTTTAAAATTTGAGAAGAATTTTCTCTACACTTCCAAGGCTGGTCTCCAAGTTGTTATCCTCCTGCCTCAGCCTCCCCCGGTGCTGGTATACCAAGCATGTCACCTCGCTGGTTCTGGTTTTTCAGCTTCCCTTGGTCTTCTTCCACTTTCCCAATTTAATTCTTTGCAGAGCAACGGTTGCAGTGCTCTGTCGCAACAAGGACATCAGCACCTCCTCTGCCCTGCAGGGGTCCTTGGGCCCCAGGGGGACACGAACCTGGACAGGAGGTGGGGACAGAAGGACAGGACTGGACAGAACAGGACTGGACAGCCCCCACCCCTAGGGCCAGAAATAGTCAGAAAGCCAGGGCTACAAAAGCCCCAGGGTCCTGGCCAGCCCCGAGCAGAGCAGCAGCAGGCAGTCCTGAGATCCATCAGGTGGGGTCCAGGCTCCAGTGGTGCCGCACACTGTGGAAAGGTGAGGCTGGGATATGGCAGCTTGGATGGGGCCTGACCAGGCTCTGACTGGGGACAGAGCTGGGCATGGAGAGACCCTGGCGCACAGAGGTCCGGGCCCAGAGAGACGCAGGCGCAATGAGAGAGGCAGGCCCGAAGAGACCAGGGCAGGAGGAGCGACCCAGGCCCTGCCAAATAGCTCCTGCAGCTGCAGGGACTCAGGCGGCCTTGCCCCCTGGAGCTGTCCTAGTCACTGCCCTTGCCCTGTTTTCCCTTCAACAGCCCCGCCCCGCTTCCTCCTGTCATTTGTCCAGGTCCAATCCCAGTTTCCCTCACACCCAGCGCCCCTGCCCATCCATCTTTCCTGCCCCTCACCCCAGGACACAGAAGCCTTCTTTCTCCTGAGCCCCATCCCCTGTGGGACTCAGTTCCTGTCCCCACATCCTGCAGGCGGGGCGCAGTCCCTGGGAGAGGCTGCAGCACAGCAGGGAGGGCGGCTTTGGACAGAACGGAGGGAGGGAGGTGGCCTGGGTAGCACTGAGATACGGGGTGAGGTGGGAGCGCCGCGCCCAGGGCACAGGGGCCTTCAGAGTGGACAGAGCGACCACGGGCTCAAAGAACACTGTGAGGGACCAGGATGGGCACAGAGGACGACTGGAGCAGGGCAGGGCGTGGTGTTCAGCCCTGAAATAGGCAGTGGTGTGCGGGGAGCTGTGTTCATTTGCATGGTGGTGAGCACAGGCGGGGGACACAGGGACCAGAGTGGGAGGGACACAGGGGTCTGGGGAGGAGCCCGAGGTGTAGACAGGACCCCGCCTCTCAAGTAGCAGGTGGAGAGAGATTGGGGGAGGGGCAGAGGCGGGGCCTTGGGAGTGGGTGTGGGAAGAGTGCAGGTGGCAAGGCCCAGGGAGGTCCCCCAGGTGAGCCTGGACCAGGGAGGGGAGCGCCCCAGCTTCTGAGGGAAACTTCAGTGAAAGCAAACTCAGGAGAAACAACACTGTTCCTTCCCTGAGTCCAGGGTTTCGGTCACATGATTTCCGGAGCAGGGCAGGATGGGGAGGAACTCTGAGCTGGATGCAGGCAGCCCACCCTCAGGGACACAGGCTGCAGGGCGGGAGAGACAGCAGCCTGGCGCCCTCAGCTGGCCTGACCCTGAGCTGTCCCTGCAGCAGAAGGCTCTGGCCTCACAGCGGATTGGACCTCAGCCTGCCTCAGGCAACAGCTCTTATTTTGGGCGTTCATGGCCTGGTGCACAGCTGAAAATACCACAAGGATTCTCCACACACAGAGGCGAGAATAAGCACAGGAGGGATGCTGAGGCCAGGCTAGAGGTCCTCCCTGCTCATCACTCTGGGTCTCCCTCTCTGTGCCTCCTCCTCCCCACCCCTTCTTCCTCCTCCTTTTCATCCCTGACTCAGTGCTGCTCCTGGAAGGGAGGAGGTGGTGCTTGTGGGGAAGGAGCAGAGTTCACCTGGCCCAGCCGTGCCCTCTGTGTGAGTTCCCGCCCTCGCATCTGTCTGTGTCCTTGTGCAGATGATGTCTGTGGTTTCCCTGAGGCCTGCAGCCTGCTCTGGGCTGCTGCCCTCATCACAGCTGGCTAATTCCCCTAAAATCTGGGCATAGTTTTGGAAAGAGAGTGGCAGTGAATGGCCTTTTTTGGGTCCAACTTAAAATATTTGGAAGCTTTGTGATGGAAACCAAACGCAACTTTCCAGGCGACCATAACTCTGGGCAGTGAACACTGGGGTGAGTTGCATGACGTGTTTCTTTGGTCTCTGCATCTAGACTTCACCATGAACACGCTGTCGGAACCCAATGGCGCCTTTGCCATCCGCCTTTTAAAGCTTCTTGGTCAGGAGGACCCTGCACGCAATGTCTTCTACTCTCCCTTGAGCGTCTCCTCAGCCTTGGCCATGCTCCTGCTGGGGGCCAAGGGGAGGACAGCAGCACAGATCGTCCAGGTAGGCTGGGCTTTGCCCCATCTTTTTTCATGACAAGAGGTTTTTGAGGTTTTTTGGTGGTTGTGAGAGGTAGGGGATCTTCCCCAAATAATAATGCAGAGAATTCACAAAATTTTGCCCAGCACTTCATTTTGAAAATGCTCTGAGGCTGGGGTGGTGCTGTGGTGAGCACTGCCACATATATGATCCCCAAAAGCACAGAGGGGTAAAAAAAAGAAAAGTATTCTGGAATTATTTGAAACATAAGTCCCTGAGGTCGGTCTTCCTTTGGAGCATAAGACTTTGCAGCTATAATTATTCACTGGTGCCTTGCAATCTCAGGGAGGGGACAAACAGAACAGGATTGGACCGGGTCAGAAATGAGGCCTTGATCACTCTAGGGACCCTGGAAGCTCCAGTGTGAGCCATGCACCAGTCATTCAAGGCTCATCTGAAAGATCACTGGACTGCTCCCTCTCCCTAGGGGGTCACAGGGCGGGCAGGAGACAGGTGCTGAGAAAAACCCAGAAGGCCGCTCCCTGGCACCTGCTGGCCCTGCGTGGAGCTCTGCACAGGGCGTGCTCTGCTCCATCATGTGGGTCTCAGTGTGACCCGCACTCCCCGGAGGACCCTCTCAGTAATGAGAGCTCTTTTTCCCCTGTTCCCTGCTCCCTGTGGGAGGTCCTAAAGCGGATGCCCAGGGTACAATTCCTACTGGTGGTTCTTAGGGTCCTCGAGGCTCTGAGCTCCCTGAGGATCTCTGTGAGGGAGCCTCTTCCCACTTGTCTGGCAGCTGCAGGGGCGCCAGGCTGGGCTCCCTGACTAGCGCCCAGCAGATCCCGGGTGCTCAGGAGCTGGTCTCACACTGGGGTCTCACACAGTGCTGGGCTGCCGCAACACTAGGGCTGCAGGAGGGTTTCTAAACATGATTTGATTTTTCATGTTGCCAAAAGCTTTAACAATTCCAGCGAAGGAAGGAAATGTGCCTATGGAATCTGCCTGCAGAGACAAACGTGTGAGCATGAAAAGCATTTTCGTCCAGTCCCGTGGGCCCATGTTCCCTGGAGATTTAACTCCTTGATTATGAACTGTGTCCTTCCTTCTATGAATGTTCTCCCCATTTCTGCCGGGATTCTGTGAGGTGATTCCTATAAACACGTGCTTGACGGAGTTAGCTCCCAGTGATCTCAGGGATGCCTCAATATCAGTGAAGCTGGTCTAACTCTCACTTTCCTTTCTTACATTATTCTTGTGGTAAAATTCATGCAAAATTTGCCATTTGAACCACGTTTTAAGCTTGCAGTTCAATGGCATTGTTTCAATTTTTGACATTTTCCTACCAGTAATCATTAAGATTTATGTAATGATTTTGCAGCTCTTAAAATTTTCCTATTATGGAGCAGTATCATTAGGAAGAAAATCGTGGAATATTGGAAAAAATCTTTTAAAGACCACCTACATCTTTTAAGAAGCAGTTCTCTGTAACTTTTCTTGTTCTTTTGTTGTCTTGGGTAGAGTCACATCCCTGTTTTCTAGGTGTTAAAAAAATTCAGTGTGGGCACACTCCTGGAATACCAGCACTCCGGGAGGTTGAGGGAGGAGGATCTCAAGTTCTAGACCATCTTGGACTATTTAGTGTTTTACTGAGACCTTGTCTAAAAAAAAAAAAAAAGAGAAAGATTGTTATCATTCTTCCCCACAAACCGTGGCCAAGGTGCAACAGGACCCATGAATCTGTGCATCCGCAGGATCAGGCTCCACTCACTCCCTCTGAGCAGTTCGAGCCACTCCCAGAAGAAGCTCAAAGCCTTGGGTGATTGGAGACCACAAGTCCCAGCAGGAGGTGTTCCGCTTTGCCTACTATAAGCTGGTTAAGAAGGCAGATGAGGGGTTAGCATCACTGAGTGAAGTTCACCCGTCTCCATCCGAGAGATGGCCTGTGTTTCTGGACTCTCCTTCGGTATCATCAGTGGGGTCTTCTCTGTTATTAACATTTCAGCCAACGCACTTGGGCCAGGTGTGGCTGGGATCCATGGAGACTCACCACATTTCTTCCTGACCTCAGCCTTTCTGATAGCAGCCATTATCCTGCTCCATACCTTTTGGAGAGTTGTGTTCTTTGATGCCTGTGAGAGGAGATGGTACTGGGCTTTGGGCCTGGTGGTTGGGAGTCACCTACTGACATCAGGACTGATGTTCTGGAACCCGTGGTATGAAGCCAGGCTGCTGCCATCTGTGTAGTCACTGCTCCCTTGGAGCTCTGGGCCTTCATCACAGCGGGAGGGGCCGTCCTAAGTACCCAGCACAGTCTCTCGTGCCCCTGGCAGGAGGACAGTCAGGTGATAGTGTATTATGCCCTGTATATTCCACCCGAGGACTGAGGGAACCAGTGGGGTGGGGGGACCCCTGGGCCTGTGGTGCCCTCCTCCTCGCCCTGTATTTCTCCATATCCAGTTCGGGACAGTGCAGGCTGCCAACAAAAGAGACGTAGTTCAGCCATTGCCCTGGAGATGACATGAACGGAAGCTCAAGGGTAGATGCAGTCTGAGTGTTTCACTTCCCTCTCCCCAGATGGGACGTCCTGGTCTTTTGCTCAGCTCTGAAGGAAACCATTTTTGGTGTGATAAAGACCTTAACTGCCTTTTATTTCTTAAGTTGGGGGAGGAGGTATGCTGAAACTCTTCTAACCTCCTTGGACTACAGTGTCCCTCCTTAAGTTGCTCCTCATGGCTGGGGTTATTTCTACCCCTTTTCCTGTCAGTCCCCAGCCCTAGGAGGAAGGAAGGAAGTGCACGTTTGCGAACTGGTGTTACTGGAGCTAATGGTTGTAACCTCCTTCACCACCAGCGTCCCTCCTCTCCCCAAGGTGAAGTGGAGGGTACTGGGGGAGCTGGCCCACTCTGCAGCCCTGGTGCCCCTGAGGGGTGAGGCTACTGTGGCATCCCAGGGAAGGAGGGCAGATTTTTTCTAGTTTTTCATTGGGGTGGGGTGGGGGTCTAGGGAGGTTTTCTATAAACTGTGTCATTTTCTGTGAAGAAAAAGAAAAATGCATTTTTATCTGATACATAGAAGCCTAAGATCTGTATGTATTTGTGGATTAACTGATTTCTGGTTTTGTTTGTTTGTTTGTTTGTTTGTTTTCCCGGTACTGGTAATTGAACTCATGACCTTGTGGTTGCCAGGTAGGCGCTGTGCCGCTGAGCTAAATCCCTATCCCTATTTACTGATGTTTTGATGCCTGTAGAATTAATTGTATAATGTTTGAGTCAGGGTAGGTACACATGTCTACATGGAACCATTATTTATTTAGACTAGAATAGCACTGTGATTGTACATGCTACTTGTGATTGTGATTGTACAGTTCTACTTGTGATTGTACAGGTACAGGAGTTATTTACTTAGAAAAAAGGTGTTTTTTTTTTAAGTACTCAACAGTGATGGTATAGCCTTCACACTGAGCCAACCCCATTAAAAACAGTTTATTCTCAGTCTTTTAAAAATTGTCTGAAAATCTTTCTAAATTACCTGGTTGCTGACGCTGGGCTTGAACTTTAGATCCTCGTGCCTCATCCTTTCAGAGTGCTGACATTATAGCTGTCTGCCACCATGCTGGGCACAAAGAAGTGTTTTTAATAATTACACAGGATGATCATTTCCATGTTACTGGTATTTTATTAGTACTTTTGATTTCTCCTGTGAAACATTAATGTCAGTGTCTAAAACCTGCAGAATTTCTTTTCTCTGTATTGTGAAATAGAGCTCCACATCTTCCCATTGAGCAACACCCTCAGGCTTTTTAAATTTTGAGACAGTCTTGCTCAGTCCCTAAATTGCCAGACTGAGCTCAAACTTGCAAATCTCCTGCCTGAGCTTCCCAGATTGCTGGGATTACAGGCCTGTACTACCATGCTGAGCTGGAATCTCTATAAAGCTTCTACTGCAGAATCGATTGACATGTTTCTGTAGCCTAATACATATTTTTAAAATATTAGAGACAGGAATATAGTTCAGCATAACAAGCACCTGCCTGGCAAGCGCAGGCTCCTGAGTTTGCGTCCCAGTACCAAAAAAATAAATAAACAAAATATTAAAGTTCCACTTAAAATATATGTAATAAATAATCTCTCTAGGATACAATTTGAAGAACTCTGTTTTAGTGCTGTTAATCATGTTGCTCCTTTTGTACCCTTATTCTTGTTAACATCCCCACTGTGCTATGCCTGGACATTCTCCTTGCAGTTTTAGAGCTTTTAACCATTTCTGTCGTTTTGAAATGAATTTTGCAGATCAGTTTTCTTCTGTATCTGCTGTATTCCTGCCCAGCAGGGGATGCAGGCTTTATAACAGCTCCATTCTCAGCTTCTCTGGGCCTTTTCATTTTCCTTTCCTTCCCTTGAATCCATAGCAGACAGAAGAGCCACACCTTTGACCTGTGTCCTGTCCCCTCCAATCTGTGCACTGTGCGTCTTCTGCAGGATGCACTGCTCAAGGAAAAAGTAAAGCGGCCTCGCTGGGTGTGGTGGTGCACGCCTGGAATCCCAGCACTCAGGAGGCTGAGGCAGGAGCATCACCATGAGTTTGAGTCCAGCCTGGGCTACACAGTAAGATCCTCCTTCAGCAAAATAAAAACAGAAACCAAACCAAAACAAAACAACAAGTTCCTCACAAAGGATGATTTCATGGAGTAGTTGAAGTTCCTCACAAAGGATGATTTCATGGAGTAGTTGAGAGCAAACTGTTGCTTTGGGAAACTCTGTATGAAAACAGAGGACAATACTGACAGTGCGCATTGACTTTCTTCACAGGCGCTGGCAGTAAACACTGAGGACGACATCCACCAGGGCTTCCAGTCGCTTCTCACCCAAGTGCACAGGCCTGAGGCTCCGTTCTCCCTCAGCATAGCCAACGGGCTCTTTGGAGAAGAGAGCTGCCAGTTCCTCTCAGTGAGTTCAGTCCTAAGAACAGGAAAGTTGATTTAAAATACCTGGTTGGCCAGGGCCCAGGGGGAAGGACCCCAGAGCACTTGGAGAACTGATGGGAAAGCTTGTTTTTTCAAGTGAAGACAGCACTCTAAGGATGCCTTGCACGATTTCCCATGTGAGGGTCTTGGAGTTCCTTCATTTATGTCCAGTATTCCAGACTCAGCACATCTCCACCTAGAACTGGTATCTGACATCTCGGGGATTCAGTGTGAGATCTCCTAAATGATAAGGATGCCCTTTCTCAGTTGTCAAAGAACCAGGTAGTACTGAGAATGCTCAGCAGCTTGAGAAACATTTGTGGAGCTCCCTGGCCTCACCTGTACCATCTCTGTCCACAGTCATTTCAGGACTACTGTCTGCAGTTCTACCAGGCAGAGCTGGAGCAGCTGTCCTATACCAAAGATGCAGAGAGGTCCAGGAAACACATCAATGCTTGGGTGTCCAGAAAGACTGAAGGTCAGCACGAACGGTTCCTTCCGCTTCTCTGGTCTCCCTGCCTCTCCTCCTGTCCCCTCCTCTCTGTTTGGGCCTGATCCTCATTCACTTCCAGTTCAGACAGTGATGTATTCCAACCCTGGCCCCAAGATCGATGATGGTTGGACGTGTGAACCATTCACACGTCTGCACCCCACTATGAGCATTCATACTTCTGCTCACAAATGAGAAGGTGGCAAGTGGGAGGAACTTTTCCTGAAGATGTGGCAATTATTCCCCCCAGTTCTTTTGAGATCTTCACCACTTATGTCCTCCTGAAGCAACAACTGGTAAGGGTGCATAGGTCATGAGAAAGTAGCCCTGGATACCCAGGGGAAGAGGAGCGAGTCCAGCTCGCCCACTTTATCTTCCACAGGGATGCCTGGAGCTCAGTCTGAGGATCAACAGTGATCTCTTTTCCCAGAAGCCCCTCACGTGCCTGTCAGCCACTTCCTCCCTTTGGCCCTGTTCTGGCCGCCCCTCACACTGACTCCTCCCTGCCCAGTGTTAGGTCTGGGTGTGAGCACGGAGCCTTAGACCTCACAATGCGTTTAGCCCCTGAGGGACTGCAGTCCCGCCCAGCGCATCTCTCCTGTCCTGCTTGCTGGACCTCCAAGCTGCCCTTTCTTTCTCATTGGCTGCTCTCCTTGAGTGACTCAGAAGCCTGTCACCTCCCCCATTTGGTGGATGCTCCCCAAGTGTCCGTGTGCAGGAACACCACTCCTCAGAGTTGTTTCTGACTGTTTAATTCATAACATCCTAACTCAGCTAGTTTGAAATCATGTTTAAATCTGCCAGGATGCTGTTCTAGAGTTTGTCCAGCATGTGTATATAAGGAGCCATTGAATGTAGTCTCTGCTTTTCTGAAGAGGCAAAATTGAAGAGTTGTTGGCAAAGGATTCAATGGAATCGGACTGCGGACTGGTTCTCATTAACGCTGTCTACTTCAAAGGAAGGTGGGAGGAACAGTTTCAAGAGTCTTGCACAAGGACAATGCCTTTCAAAATAAGCCAGGTAGGGAGAAGCTTTCAACAAAATCATTTCCTAAAGTAGTGGAATAAAAAAATTTAACTGTGCAAGGACATAAGTGATTAAAAATTCTTGGCAACAGATTATTTCTCAGTTGACTTTTAAACTCAGGAAAACAAAATCTGAGGAGTAAAGAATATTTGGTGCATATAATTTTTGCGTTAAATGACTCTTCTCCCTGTCCTATAATTTTTCCTGCGCTTACTCAGGCAACCAGAATCTGAAAACTAAAGATTTTTCTTTAGGTCCAAGTAGTCAGGTATAAACAACAAAAAAACTGATATGATATTGTGCTATATGTATGGGGCACTGGGCAGTATCAGGAAAAATGTGAGAATACATATCTTTATCAAGTAATTTTTAAATTAATAGAAGTATTCGTTTGAACTGTTTATTACAAAATTATTATTAATTCAATATTTGCAAATTTGTCACCTTGTAAACAAGTGGCAATATGTAGCTCCTGAGAATTTCAACTTCAATCAAAGCAGAGTTAAAATAATTTGCCAAGTCATCTAATCCCTTAAAAAGAGAAGTAATTATCCAGAAAATATTTGGGATGTTTATCCATGTTCCATTACATCTCCTTTTTAAAATAAGATACACTTCCTGTAATGATTCATTTATTCTTCCTTATGGGACTAGGAGGGGTTGTCTTCCAGAGCGACACCATACCACATGGAAAATTCAGAGCTTCCCGTTTTATTTTGCTGGCCTGGACATCTCCCCAGGCTGCTCCTGCCTCAGCCCACACTCCATGGCTTTTCATGCCTGTGGGAAGTGCTGGGGGAGGATTCCCCAAGGGTTACGTGGAGAGCAAATACCGGTTCCCTGGTGGGAGTGGTATCGCTCAGGCAAACCCCTGGCAGTTTCTTGCTCCTTAGAGAATCCATGTGACACGTGTGCCCCTCTGTTCACCCCGTCAGAAGGAGCAGAGGCCGGTGCAGATGATGTTCCAGGAAGCCACGGTTCCTTTGGCTCATGTGAGTGAGGTGCAGGCCCAGGTGCTGGAGCTGCCCTATGTGGGCCAGGAGCTGAGCATGGTCGTGGTGCTCCCGGACGAAGGCATGGACCTCAGCATGGTGAGACAGGGGTCTGTGTGTGTGTGTTTGTCGTCCTTCCAAGATCATCTGGTGACATCCCTGTGTCCTTTCCCATCAGAACCACACTGGCACACACTCCTGCCCTGGGCCATCAGTCTGTCCCCCTCTCTACTGAAAGCCACTCACAGTCCCACCTTGTTGTGCCCAGCAATGAGCTCCCCTGGGATGAGCAGCTACTGGGGTGCTAAACTCAGCAGCAGGAATGAGCTAGAGGGACAGAGCTGAAGAGAGGAAGACCCTGCATTTGTTAGGAGGAAAAAGCAGAAGATAGGCAGCTGCCCCAGACAGGACAGGCCCGGAAAGATTGAAGCCCTAGGGCCTTTGTCCTTGGCTTCTTTCATGACATTTTGCGGGATCCTCACTGCTCTGACACTGATCACAATTTGATTGGCTCCCTGGGCTGTCCTGGGATTAAATGAGGCATCGAAGCCTATGTGGACATTTGTTTAGAGGGCTTGGTCTGACTTCTCTGTGTCCCTTTGTCCTTCCAGATCCTTATCTCAGGGAAGAGTAGGTGGTTGGTGGGGAGCAGCTTTCTAGATGGTCAGCTTCAAGTTAGTGGGTGACGTGTGTGTATCTGTTGTAGTAACACAGCGACCCTACAGTGGAGATAATAGCTGTGCACGTGCATAGGTGAGAGGACACACTCTACCCTCTGAGCAGGGGTTCTCCCTAAAGCTGGTCGCTGCTCCCCTCTCTGTGCACTGTCCTGGGCCGGGAGGACACTCCTGGCTCTGTGTTCCTGGCCCTTCCGTGCTCTGCCTGTCTGCTTTCCCACTGGTGTCAGTCAGAATGCCATTTATTCTGTGTCTTTTTTGTCTGCTTTTTCTTTTTTATAATTTCTTGTCCTTGTATTTGTGTCCAAGGGACTTCCTCTGTGAAGCTTTCACTCCTTCTAGTCAGGATTAGCTAGAAAGCCCAATGAGGCCTTCATGCTATTCTTCCCCTGAAGACAGATCCGTTTCCCTACAGCCTCAGGCCCCTGCCCTGGTGACTCACAGCCACAGCCCTTTTGTTCCTTGCTTTCTAGCAATGACTTTTCCGCTCCAAAGTAAGGCTCATTCAGAAAACCAAAAATCCCAGGAAGCCCAAATGTGCAAAAAGGGCAGCCACCTGGCAGAGACACTAGTCAGCATTGGAAGGAAAGAGGCACAGCCCCGTCTCCTACCTCAGGAAGGCGCACCTGGGATGGCATTGCAGCAACTTCTATAGGAGAATCCAGGTCCTCACAAGCTCCCAGGCAGCTGCAGGGACAGTGTGTGATGGTGGGCACCATCTGCCGGCCAGAGGAGCAAAGGCTGCCCCTGGGAGGGACCGCTGTGGATGGGCACTGAGGTCAGAATGGTAAATGCTATTGCCGCTCTTTCAGGTGGAAAAATCCCTCACGTTTGAGAAATTCCAAAGCTGGACCAGTCCAGAGCACATGAGGAGGACTGAAGTGGAAGTTTTCCTCCCGAGATTTAAACTGCAAGAGGATTACGACATGGGCTCTGTGCTGCAGGGTCTGGGCGTGGTGGACGCCTTTCACCCTGGCAAGGCCGACCTGTCCGGGATGTTGGCCGACAGCGACCTGTGTGTGTCCAAGTTTGTGCACAAGAGTGTGGTGGAGGTCAACGAGGAAGGCACGGAGGCTGCGGCAGCATCAGCTTGTGAGATTGAACTGTGTTGTGCGAGGTGTTTGCCGGTGTTCCGTGCTGACCACCCCTTCCTGTTCTTCATCAGGCACAACAGCACCAACAGCCTGCTGTTCTGTGGCAGGTTCTCGTCTCCGTGAGGGGTGTGCTCCCTGTGCATGCAAGCACTTTCCTCTGCATCACCAAGTCCCATCCAAACTCCATGAAGTGGGCTCATTAGAAAGGCCAAGGGCAGCCTAAGGGCAGACTGGCCCGCATCTGCCCATCTCTCAGCACAGCGCACCACGCGCGTGCTCCTCTCCCCACACTGCCACTCACCTGTGCCACTTGACCAAGATCTTAGGACAGCAGACCTCCATGTTGACTGCAGGGTGGAGAGCAGATGCACTGCCCACAGTTTTCCTGGATGGTCACAAACACGTCTGACATTCTCTATCCGAGCTTCTTTTTGTACTCACAGTGCGCCTCCTAGAACCTCCAACCCTGTCACACGTGTACCTCAACCGCACCTTCTGAATAGCAATCCCTGCTGCCAGGTATTACTATTCCTTGGACAGTTTTCCTGCTGCTTGGACTTTTTAGAGAAGTGCACATTTGAATTGTATTTTATTGGACATTTGCTGTTCGCCAGGTCTGTGCAGAACACTGCATTCGGCTGGGGACAGAGTCAGGCTTCGTCAGCAGCTGCTCTTTATGGTCTGTGCCCAGCTCACACAGCTGTTGTGGCAGCCGGTTCCACTATGTAATATCTTCAGTCGTGTAGGGATGACAAGTTATTCATGTGATTTGATTTCTCCATCTCCAACCCTAGCTGTTAAATTCCATTCAACACCTGAAATTCATTTCAGATGTCTTCTTCAGGAAAGTTTTCCTTTTCTCCAGAACCTCATGTGTACTTTGAACTCAGATTGCAGCAGTTCATGGTGGTAGCTTTTTTTTTATTAATCTTCTTTCCTCTAAGGATGTTCCCCACCTAGATCTTAGATTCGCTGGGACTAAGATTCCATCTCACCTACCTGTGTGTCGCTTATACTACAATAATAAGTTACTCACCGTATACAAGCTCTAACTACTTTCAGGGGTGAGACATCACCAACTATATTGTGCTCTTTTAGAATTTCATTGTTTATGACTTTCATATAATAAAGTTAACCATCTTAGTACATTAAGTGTGTCATGTAACCACCACTTTTATTCAGTTCCAAAAAAGTTTTCATTGTCCCAAATGAAGCTGTGCCCCCTAAGCAGAGAATCTGCATTTGTTGCTCCCTGAAGCCCTGGGCATCACCATTTTGCTTTCTCTCTCTGACAACTTACCTGCTATGAACGTTTCATATAAATCTAAGCATATCGATGACCTTTTGTGTCTGGCCTCTTTTGTTCAGTGTAGTATTTTCTAGATGTGTTCATCACTGTACCGTGTATCCATTCTCTATTCCACGTATGACTGATAATATTCCATTGCTGAACTATACCACAATTTATTTACATATTCATCCATCTGGTTTTTTGATGCATTCAGTTATATGTAAATACTGCTGCCCTTTATCTGCATGTACTTGTATTTGTCCTGACACCTGTCTCCCTTCTTTTGCACATGTACTCAAGTATAAAGGAAAGGAATTACTGGGCTCTATAATAACTATATTCAGCTTTGTAGGGAAATGCTGAACTGGTTTCCAAAGGGGCTGAACCATGTAACATTCCCACCAGGAAGCTATGAGATTCCAACTTTCCTGCACATTTCTTTTCTTTTCCAAGTTATGACCATCCTGATGCGGGTAGCAGGAACATGTGGTGGTTTTGATCTGCAGATGTGCAGTGACTGCTGACATTGAGTATCTTTTCAGGAGCTCGTTGGTTTTTGCATTCCTTGTTTGGAAAAATATCTGTGCAAGCCTTTTGCCCATTTTTAATTGGATTGACATTTTGTTCTTGCTAGTAAAACAATTCATTCCATATTCTCATATTAGCCACCCATCAGATACATGAGTTGCAAGTATATTCTCTCATCTTTAGCCTGCCTTTTCACTTTAATAATTCTCTTGGAGGCACAAAATCTTAATTTCCAAATGTCCAGCATATTTAACTTTGCTCATGTTAGTGGAGTCACATTTTAATAATCTCCTGACCAAATTCAGGAGCATGAGGATTTACCCCTGCATGTTTTCTTCTAAGACTTTTCTGGATTTAGCTCTTATATTTGATAGTTGATCCATTTTGAATTAATTTCTGTACATGCAGCCAGGTAGGGATCCAATTTAGCTTTTTTTACATTTGAATATCCTCTTGCCCTAGTAAATGTAACTGTTTTTGAATTGGAAAAAAAAATGTGTTAACAATAGTTAAAAAGGCAAAATAATACCTAAGTAAGCAGTATATATTGGATAATTACTCAGTTTGAGTATATTAGATCCATTACACGAAGAACACTGCAACCAGAGAAAGAAAACATTATCAAATGTCACAATGAATTAACACTACAATATACAAAGAACTCTATCACTCAGACACAAAAGCCAGTAAATGAACTAGAGATACACACACAAAGTACCAGGAGATACTGCTGTATACTGAGATTGGCATCAGACAGGAAGTTGGATAATACAGTAGCAACCAGGAAGTAGGGCAGTAGGGCCCTTCTGAGACTAGGAAGGGACACATCCCACCTAGGAAGTCCAGGCAGTACTCCATGAATACGTCCTGGGCTCGGTAGAATCCCTTCTGGGGTATATCTTCCAGTGGTGTATTTGTCCACAGCAATGAGAGGGTGGGGACTTCAGTGCTCACTGCAGCCTTATTAGTGATGGCACAGAAATGGTGCTGCTCACTCATCTCAAACAGAATAGCTAAGAAAGTTGGAGTGCACACCAAGGAGTATATGTAGGAATTGGAGACATTTTCACATATTCCCAGGGCAGCGCTCTCAATGACCTGATTTCCTTGCACTACGCTCCCCCTTGCAAATGTTCCACCACTTTTGAAAGTCAGCACCCTCATGTCCAAGCTTCCAACACGCAAACCTCCAGGGAACACATTCAAACCACAGTCCAAACCTTTTCTGTAAATACAGACATCACTGCGTTGTGCATTGTACAGTGACACAACCCTGATGCATTTCTTTATTATTGGTGAAAACTTTTTCCTGTGTTTGTTGGCTCTTGATTTTCCTGTCCTGTGAATTATCTGTTCACACATCTAATTTGCAATTTTTGGGTGCTGCTTATTTTACATTTTAGATATATCTTTGCCCTTTTAAGTTATGATCACTGTTCAATAATGTTTTTCTAATTTTGTGGCTTGCCTTTAAATTTTGGTTTGACATATTCCATGTAAGCAGGTGTTATATTTAATAACCAGATGTCTGCTCAAAGCCTCTTGAGCTCATACGTGGGGCTTTCTGGAGCTGAATGGATCCTGGGGATGCAATACTCTCAGTGAATTAATGCATTGGTGAGTTTACAGCTAAATGTGATGTTGGAGATGAAGCAGGTTGGAGGAGGTGGGTCACTGGGCCTCGCCCTGGGAGCATCTACCTCCCTCCTCCTCCCTTGATCTCTCTCTGCTTTCTGCTTCCCTGCCTTGAGCAAACCCCTCTGCCATGCCACCCTGCCTTGGAGCCAGCAGACTATGCACTGAACCTCTCCAAACTGTGACCCAAAATAACCCTCTCCTCCTTTAAGTTGTGGCTGTCAGGTGCTTGAGTCCCAGGGATGTAAAAGTCACTAACACAAAGGGGTTTTTCCTGTGTAATCAAAGTTTTTTATCTGTGACTTCCAACACTGCCGTCATTTTCAGAACTTTCCTAGCGAGAAATCAGTCAGAGTCATCTACTTTTCTTCCAAACTTTTAAAAAATTGTTTTAGCCACATAATCTGTGTGGAATCTGTTATTGTCTTATTAACTTTGTGACTTTTTCACATGTAACCAACTTCTTAACATTATTTATAAGAGAATGCTCAGTGTTTGTATCTATTTTTACATTTTTATACATTCAGGTGAATTTTTCAATATCTTGAAATACTGAAAATAATACTTTTAGCTTCATAGTTTTTTGAGTGAAAGGATTACAATGACATTAAGCATATAAATTATTGGGTAAATCCATCTACTTATAACTTTAGTCTGCTTATTCCAGAAAATGAGGAGAGTCTCCATGTATTCTGGCCTTTCAAGCGTGGTTTTATTATAACACTTTAAAATTTTTATACATGTCTCACCAAGGTTTAGTTTTTCTTGTTATGGTATTTCTTATTTTCTTGTCATTAACTCAGTGTTCAAGAAGAGCACTTCCCGTACCTGGTTAAAGGTGTCACTTACGTGTGCAATTGAAACTTACATGTTTCTGTTTCTGGGAACAATATGCTGTCCTCTGTTACTCACTACAGCGTTTTCATACATTCTCTTGGGGTTTTTTGAGGGATGCCCGGTTACTGAAGACCCTCAGGAAAGCTTCAGCCTCCTACTCAGTGATGCAGAATGTAGCTGAAAAGGAAATCCAGAGAAAACTGCAGTTGCAAGGGGCTCTGAGCAACAAAGGGCGATTCTCCACAGCAGCCTCAGTTTTTACTGAATGCGCAGGGAACAGAGCCATGAGTGGAGCATGCGCAGAGGACGGGGGTTGGATGTGAGGGAAGAGTCACCTCCGCAGAGCCGCTAGCAAACAGGAACAAGGTGTTCGTGTCTCAGGCACAAAACCATCCATTCTCCATATCTACTTCATGGTAGCTTCGTGTGTGGCTTCCAGCAATATTTTACTGCTGAGAAAAGACTTTGTTCCGAGCCTTAATGCTTCAGTGCTGGCGTGATCCCATATCTGAGTGCTGTCTCCTCATGGGTTGCTTAACTGGCCTCAGGGGTGGCCCTTAGTGGAACAAGGGGTGATGATGACAAGCACGTTACCATTGTCCATGGGTCACGTCAGCCCCTTAGCCCATCTGCACTTACATTCTCTAGGTCAATTAAAAGTAAATTTCTCTCTATCCAGCTAGCTGCCTGTACTGCTATATTTATTATGCAAGGGTGTAGTAAGGAAAAGGCAAAAGGTTGTAGAAAGGGGCTGCAGTCAGGGGTCTTCAAGGCCGAGGTACCATACAGGGTTTCTACTGTACGAGTATACAGTAGGCAAATGATCCTGACTGGGTGTAAAATTGTGTGTCCAAGTAAGAGGCGCACATTCTTCTGGGGTTGCTGTCCCTCTTGCTATGTTTACTGTGTGCTTGTTAGTATCTGTTTTCCTTTCCCCTTTTGGCATGGCCCAGACACTCTAAGACAGGGTATGCAAATGCGGGGAATTCTTGTGATGCTCTTTGTGTTAAGGCAGAGGCTGATAATGTGCATTATGGGGAGTGCGTGAGAGAATGGATGGCCTTCTACACTGCACTCAGGAGAAGGGATGAAGGCTTTTGGAGGGAATCAAACAGCCCCTCAATTTTAAGTGAACATTGTCCTTGGACAAGTACTTTCACATCTAGGTGTCTGGTCTACAGAAATCTTTGCCTGCATACTTAGATATGTGCTGGGGTTTTCTCGGCAGCATTGAAAAAGAAAGACCCTGTTTTTGGCCCTGCAGGGAATTCATGCTGGTCTCACAGAGCGAGTTGGTTCTCACCAGGGTAATTATGAAAGACCAAGGCTGGCTTTTCTTTTAGTCTCCTGATTTCCTGTCTTTCCCTGTGATCTGCTCTCAGGCATTCCCACCATTAGGCCACACAGTCTGTTGTGACATAGCAGGAAGGTCTCATGAGCATTGGCAAAGGCCAGTGTCATGGTCCTGGAAATCCAGAAAAATGTGAAAGAAATACATCAAATTTTATTAAATTCCCTGTCTCGGGTATTTTGTTATCTCAGCAGAAGTCACTAACACACACTATTTATCCAAAACTAACGTCCTGGCCTGTATCCTCAGGTTCCTTTCTCATCTAGCTGGGGCACTAGCTTCACCATGGCAGGAACCACTTTACATCATCAGCTCTGCATTCTGCAGCCCACTCAGGGCCTGGGGCTCCTTACAGATTACCAATAAGGTTAATCCCAAAGACAGAGAATTTTCAGGTTCCTCAAGCCACCCAATGGGCCTTCTCTACCGCTGTCACTGAACCATTATATCCGCACAGAACTTCTTAATGCTGCATACGTCTTACCATTATCACTCATCCTTGAAGGCTGCATCATCCTCCAAATCACTCTTGGCCCACCCAGCTTGAAGACCTTCACTGCATCCTTTATCTCAGCAACAGGTCCAAACTCTCTGGGAGGAGGTTAGCACTGTCATGTCTTGGCTGTATCTTCTTTCCTTAAGAACCCCAGGAAGGTATGTACACTCCTTCCTGGGG